TGGATCCAGAAGCAAGTGGTAAGATGGTGTTACTAGCCTGACTAGAACCTTAATGTCCCTTCATTTCCCTCACAACAAAACCCAGGTTTCTTAAGTTGATTCATGAGTCCTGCTGACATCTGTCATCTTCTTACCTCAACACTTTATCTCATACTGTCTTCATGGCAGCCAAAGTGAATTTCTTTTAGTTCCCCAAAAGGCACAGTGCACATTTCAGCTCTGGACTTCAGCTATGCCATTCTCATTTTCCGGAAACTTCTTCGCTGTCCCATTCTTCTTTGTCTGGCTAGCTCCTACTTTTTCTTTTTTTTTTTTTTATTCAGGTCTCCATTACATATCATTTTCTCTCAGTAAGACATATATCTCAAATCCCCCAGTGCCGGTGCCCCTCAGCTGGGTTTAAATTATTAACTGATGTGTTTCCATAGCTCACTGATTTATCTCTGGGATATAAAGGGAGAGCTATTTATTTATCTTTCACTAGGCAGTGAGCTTCATAAAGACAGACAATATTGTGTCTCCAAAAGCTAGCAGAGGGTTTAGCAGATAATTAATCCTCAATAATTATTTATTGAGTACATGTATAAATGAACATAATGAGGAAATCTAAACAAGTAGGTAAAACAGCAGGTCCTGTTGATAGCAGGCCATTAGTGGAAGTCCTGGCTGGCCGGTCTGACAGCCAGTACTGGTCAAGGAAACTGCCTGTCCATGGGAAGAATGGTGAGAGCCCAGCAGTTCCCTTCAAACTGACATGGCCATGGTATCTGTGCCGTACTTTTAGACATATAGGGAATAGACACATGACCCAAAGCTAGCCAGTCCATTGGATGATCAATGACCAATCAGATTTCCCTGTTTGAAAATTTGAACAAAGAGATGCTGAGTCAGTAATAAGATAAGTAAAAAGGAGTGGGGGGTGGGGGGCGGGGGGGCCGGCCCTGTGGCGTAGCAGTTAAGTTCGCGTGCTCTGCTTCCGCAGCCCAGAGTTCTCTGGTTCGGATCCTGAGCGTGGACGTACTCTCCACTCATCAAGCCATGCTGAGGTGGCATCCCACATAGAAGAACTAGGAAGACCTTCAACTAGGATATACAACTATGTACAGGGTCTTTGGGGGAGTAGAAAAGAAAAAGAGGAAGATTGGCAACAGATGTTAGCTCAGGGCCAATCTTCCTCCCAAAAAAAAGATTACTTTTGGGAAAAAAAAGGGGGAGTAGGATTGAAAAGGTGCAGTGACGTGGAGTGTGGGGTTGTGTAAGATCACAAACAAGATGGAGAGACAGGGATGGAGTAGATAGATGGACAGGAGCATAGGTCAGAGTTATCTTATGGGCCTTAGAAATATGAAGCCATTTACTGAGATTCAAACATTTGTTCAGCAAGAATATATTGAATCTTTTCTACATAACAGCCCTTGTTCTGGGCTCTGGTTACATAGCAGAGAGCTAAACATATGCTGTCCTGATCTTCACTGAGTTTTAATTCTGGGTGGGGAAACAGACACTAAAATACATAAAATATGTAACATATTAGATGGTAGTAAGAGCCATGAAGACAAACACAGCATGGAAGTAATATAAGGAAATGGAGATGGTGGCACCTTTTTAAAAAAGGTTTTAAGTGAAGGCTTCATTGTGAAGATGACATTTGAGCAAAGACCCAGAATTGCTGAGAGAGAGAGATGGGGAAGATAGAACTCTTCGTCCAGTGTTATTGAAATTGTCCGTTAGGAACAGGATGGGCCCTGAGCTAGAATCTGGCCTGGGTGGAATTAACAAGATGCTCTATGGGAAAGTGGCTTGTCATTAGAAAATTCGTATTCATCTTGTGAAGAGGAGACATGGAAATAAGTTTCTGAGGTTTACTCCTAATCTACAGAATAGAGCAAATTTGCTGACATTTTCTGATGAAGAACAAAAGCTTAAGTCAGGATTTGAACCAGTGGCTCCCGGGACTTGAGATATCATTAAGGGAGATTTAAGTCTTCTTAAGCCAGGTACTTAATCCATTAAGTCTGGTCTTTAGTTTGCTAAGCTACCTCTCTGTGCCTGCTTAGGGAAATGATGTATGTTGGCTCCCAAAGGTTTTCTCAAAGTCAAAGCCAAATGGAAGTCAGATGCTGCTGCAACCTGCTGTAAATAAGAACACGAACACTTTGGTTCTGCAGGAATTTGATTGTGACAAAAGGCATGATGGAAGTGGAGTTGCCTGGACTTCCTTGTGGTTTATATTGTTGTTATTTTCGTATTATACCATAGAGCTACAGTGTTCATTGGATATGGAGTAGAGTGAAAAGGAAAAATCATAGATAATTCTAGTTTTAGTCTTTGGAAATCATTGTTCAACCAGCACGCATCCTCTCACTCCCCCGAGACTCTAGGCTTTTTAAAACTTTTTTTTTTGACTAATATGTGGTGTGTATATGTTTGGATGGTAGTATAGGGAGGGATCACAAATTCAAACACTTGCAGGGAAGCCTGCAGGTAACATAAGTAAATGAAAGACTCAGATATAGGAAAATATATCAAAGTACAAAGTGACAGCATCTTTTAAGCACAGTGGGAGCTTAACAAAACGCTCTATTCCCTCCACAGTGCATGCTTGCTAGCCAATTTCAGGCTAAGGACCATGGGGTTCTGGGTTCAATTCCTAACACTGACCCTCGTTAACTATGTGACCTTGAGCTTTCCTAAGCCTTAGTCTCTTCGTCTGTGAAGTGGACGTAATTCCTTCCGCAGAATGTAGTTGTGTAGATTCAGTGAGGAGGTGCTTGTCAAATGTCTAACACAGGCCCTGGCCAAGGATAAGCACTTAAGAAATGATGAATTTTATTACTTTCATAAAAATTTGATATTGACATTACTAAGTACTATAGGAAGAATCTTTGCTTCAATGAAAATTGTACATTATCTAGAGCACACGCTTTGGGTTATCTGGTTCTGATTTTATGGGAGCTCACAAAGTAGTAGATAGCTGAGGCAATATAAAATAATTCTTGTCCATACACGTTAAGTGAATTTTCTCCCCTTTCAACAAAAACTAGTTTTGCCGCCCATTTGATCATCTATTTCAGTCTTTTACTCCATGTATATTTGTGCTTCTTTGACTTCTCCACGGAACTGCTTATAACATCTGCCTGGTTTCCTCATTTAATCAATGAATATTAAGTAAAATCTTTAATGCACGTTAATTTTATACCTATATGAGATTCATGATTTTACCTGTTTTTGAAAATTTTCTTTTAAGGGTACAGAACACCATTCAAAGGACTGGGGGTGAGAAAAGGGAATCTAAAAGGAACCTGAGAGACCTGACTGAGATGTAGATGCACCAGACACAGAAAACAAAATCAGTAATAGGTACGAAGAGATATGGTATGATTAAGTCCCAAAATGAATAGAAATAGAATGTGAGTTTAAGGAATCACTCTGCCCTCATGTTGATGAGTATGTTCCACTGAGGAGGCCATTCAATAGATTAGGGTTATCGGAATTTCTTTCTTACCTCTTTACTTCAGAGTACTAAGTCACTGAATGAGAAAAAAATTCAATATTCCTAGTGTAATCCTTCCTCATATAAATCTATAATATTAGCAGGCAGCACTTAACACTTTAGAAGCAAGTGTTTGTTTGTCTGTGTCCCCATCAAGGGACCATATCTCATTAATCTTGTCATTCTTTGCCAGATAGGACCTAAAATATTTTAGGAGTGCAGGATATATTTATTGAATAAATGATGAAATACTCACATTAAATTCTCTGGTAAAAGCAAAATGCTTTACTAATTAGAACTCAATTGCCAGTGATACAAACACAACTTAAAATGTGTTTACAAGTTAAGAGGGGAATTCGTGGGCACATCATTAAAAAAAATCATATTCGTGACACTTGGTAAAGATGGTAAGGAAGACACTATTCAAGGAGTGCCATTGTGATGGGTACAGGGACCACAGCAGTGGGGTATTGCAGTGGAGAAGAAAGATTGGACTTGACTCCAAATACAGTATGGATAAGTGTGAATTTATAGCCAAGGAGCAAGGTGGGGGTCAGAGGACAGAAATTACTAAAGGAGGCATCAAGGGTAAGGGAGTATACTGGCTAGACTGACCTGACAGGATTCTTGCTGAAAGCAGGCCAGGTTGATCAGACGTCACCTGCGGAACGGAGGATGATGGCTTGACTAGAGATTGTTGACACAAATAATTCGTAATCAATCTATAAATCAAAATTGGGGTGAGTTTATTATGAGCCAGATATGAGGACAATAGCCTTGGGGAAGGAAGCACATCAAAGAAGTGGGTTGTATAGAGAGGTTATATACCATCTTAGAACAAAGAGCATACATCACATAAGCAGGAATATCCCTTTTACAACAGTCATGAGATTCCTTTGCTGGCACAGCCGGTCAGTGGTCACAAGGTGAACACAGCAGGTCGGTAATTAATCTTTTTTTTTTTGTGAGGAAGATTAGCCCTGAGCTAACATCTAGGCCCATCTTCCTCTACTTTATATGAGATACTGCAACAGCATGGCCGGACAAGTGGCGCGTTTGTGCGCACCAGGGGTCTGGACCCGTGAAACTGGGGCTGCCGAAGCAGAGCTCATGCACCTAACTGCTACGCCACTGGGCCGGCCCCAGTAATTAATCTTTAGTTTCTAGGAAGAGATGCTTATTCTTAAAGAAATGCCGATACAGGGTGGGGGGAAGCCACATCTCTAAGGGCATCCTTCTAGTCTTTGAGACATCGTAACTGTTTAAAGCAGATGTACAATGCCTGCTCAACAGGCCACATCAGGCCTTTTTGGAAAAACAAGGTCAGGTTGAATTGGTTTTAAGCCAGATGGCTTCCTCATATACTCCAATATATCCTACTGTTTTTCATTTATTCATCAAAATCCAGGTGATACAGAGTGATACGATGGGGAGGATGGGGGATTCTGGCTAAACTGACTCAGCAGGATTCTTGCTAAAATCAGAAAATGCAGAGAACATGGAAGTCCAAAAGTCAGGCCTAGTTGAAACAAGCTCAGAAAATCCTGACAAAAGTGTGGTCATGGAGAGAAACTTTGTCAACACATAACTCAAAAAGTCCAGGCTCACACAATTTCATCTTGGTGAATCTCCTTCCCTCTCTCCATAATTTCCTCTCCATATTGCCACTCTGCTCTGGGCAGTTTCAATTACTCCTGTGGCAACAAGATGGTTGCCCTGTCCCCCAAACTTGTGCTTTTAATGGCTGCTTATTCTGTGTTCTTTTATGTGATGGTCACTCAGGTGCGGCCACCAGAGGAGACACAAGAGAGGCTCAGAAAAACAAAGTTGATTATACTCACAGTTCCCAGAGAAGGTGTCACCACATGCCATGCAGGGTCACAGGGAAAACGTCAGATTTTGGTCAGGTTTCAGAAAGCAGGAGTAGAAAGCCAAGACTAGAGCCTCTATTGGGGTTTCTGCAGGAAAGTCCAAGTAAACAGTGTAAGCTTGTTTAGTTTGAATAATTTCAGTGGGCTATAGGGGTAGTCCCTAGTTGCCTGGCACCTGGCCTGGGGATTATGAAGACAGAGGAAATATTGCCTCCTGGAGTGTGTAGGCCAGATAGAGGAGGACACCTCTGGGTTCCTTTACATATCAAAGGCTAGCTTCAGGCTAAGCCCTTTGCTATCTCTGAGAATTGGCTCTTCCTGAGAGGGGTAGTCTCTCCTCAGCCAGAAAGGTTTTTCCAGACATCAAAAGCTGGGGGAAAAAAAAAAAACCAAATATGTCAAAACATCATAATACACAGAAAATTTTAAAAATATATAAACAATACACTACTCTATACTGTTTTCCTATTTGGAGCTCAACACATTTTTGTGGAAGAAAGGAAGGAAGAATAAGTCTGGAGGCAGGTCGATGGGAGGGAGGAGAATGCACTGCTGTTACATTCTCAGATAGATGCAGAACACACGGGATTTGTACTTCCCTGTAAACTGTTCTAAAATTCCGGTTTCAGACTTCAAATGACTGCAAAGTTGCCTTTTCTGTTTTTTTAATTTTTGAAAATCTTGGGCTACAAGTAGAACTTTTTCACAAAGACTGTTCATTGATACCTTGGTTAGAAAAATCCTATAACTATGGTCTAAAGAAAGTTGACCTTTTATTTAAAGATTGGTTGTCATGTTGATATTGTAGGATTAGCCTTGCATCTGTATTGGCTCTAGTCTGAAGGCCTGATCTCTCTGTTTAGACTGGACCAATGCAAATGAGATAATGTCTGAGAACATATCTCCTTCCAGAGAAGAGTAGGAGTTCTTTCCTTAGGCTTCAAAGTGATGCTGGCTCAAGACAAGGTTGACATGAGGGAAGCCATGGTAGAAAAGAAACGCTATTGTAACTTTGAATGACCTTTGACAAACTAATCCAGCTGGATATGCACCCTCCAGGAGATCTAATTGCTCTATAGATTTTATGACCCCTCCTTGTGCATGTACCTCCCAGCTGCGATAAGATGATAACTGTGTTCTTTAGAATTCCTTAGGAATGTGATGACCCCTGAACAGAGAGTCTATGCTGATAGCCATCACCAATGAAAACTGAAAGATCTGGTGTGGCACTCCCAGTCTGTAACCCCAGAAGGTCAACATTCCTAACCCCCCCCCCATAACCCAATGGCCTATACAACTGCTGTAAGATTTTGTGCCCCTTAAGATGGTTCTTTCAGACATTAGTCGGCCATCTTCCCTCTTGCTAGCAAGCTGTAATAAAAAGTCCTTTCTTTCCTACCACCTTGCTTCTTGACTATTGGCATGTCTTGTGGCGGGCAGAAGACCCCCTTTGGGTGGTAACAAAAGTCCCTGAGCACTTATTTTGAAATGGTATCAATCTTTAGCAATTCCAGTTTGTTTCCTACCCTGCTACAAATACTTGCCCAAAATACCCTTTGGGGAATAGGAATGCAATTCAAATGACATCCAATCAGACTGTTCTTCTCATAATTGATCTGATATTTGCAGGGACTTTTCTTAATCTTTGAGGATGCTTTGTAGCAAGGCCTCTGCCTATCTGTTTGAATTAAATATGAGAACTGGAAATATTAGCTCTTAGATAACAATAGATTAAAAATCAGAAATGAGATACAATGCAAATGATGGTTCCTTTTTAATTTGTTCCTTTGAAAAAAAGATTTTTATCATGGTGCAAACAAATAAAACTTGCATATGTAATTAAACACATTGTGTAAATCTAGCCTGTCTTCCAAATTGTTACCTCTTGGTAAATTGCAAACATGTAAATTTGCTTAGGGTATTTGGCCTAAAAAGTTTAAAATAGGAATTGTACAATTTTTTTTCCCTGTTCTTTACAGTTCAAGTGAAGATTTTCATGGCACACACAGGAAAGATGGCACACACAGGAAAGACGTAGAAGCTTGGTTGAAATTTGTACTTTTTTGTATTAATTATTCCTTTTATTTAGAAAGGGGTGGACATTTTAACCTTCATTTATTTTCTAGGTGATATTCACGCCAGAGTTTTTCTTTCAAATTGTTCTTTTTTCTCCTCTGATATTGGAGATATGAAAATGGAGTCCATCTTGGAGTGTCTACCCAAGATGTGCTCTGAGGCAGTGGCCACAATAGTGTGCAGGGGAGGAAAAGTCATTTTTCTTCTACCCTTGTAGGTTCCTGGCCTGTCTAAAATAAAAGACAAACTAATGGAAAAAAACAAACAGATGTTAAATAACATGTATAACTCCTGTATACATGGAAAAGACCCAAGAAAACTGAGTAACTCTCCGAAATGGCCCAAACCACTGCCTTAAATACCATCTCCAGCTAAAGATGAAAGAAGATGTTGAGGGTAGGGAGAGGCCAGTTATGGGAGGTTACCAAGCAAAGCATAGTAAACCAAGGTATGGTTGTTATGCACATTTCAGTTATTGCCTTCTCCATTGATAAGAGTTTTTAGAGATTTAGAGTCACCCTCTTCTTTCTGGTACATAGAGAGAGACACCCTTACAAATGGAGAGTTTCCTTATAATGTAAATTTCTCTTACAGAAGGGTAGTTTATACTTGGTTTTCACAGCTTCTCCTGTGTCTGCTGTTTCTTAAAAATAATAAGCCTATGTTACTTTTTTGGAGGGATCTCTATACTGTTTTCCATAGTGGCTGCACCAATTTACATTCCCATCAGTGGTGTATGAGGGTCCCCTTTTATCCACGTGTTCTCCAGCACTTCTTATTTCTTGTCTTTTTAATAGTAACCATTCTGATGGGCGTGGGGTGATATCTCATTATGGTTTTGATTTGCATTACCCTAATACTTAGTGATGTTGAAGATCTTTCATATGTGCAAGATACAACAACAACAACAATAACAACGATAAACACATAGATATGAGAACAGATTGGTGATTACCAGAGGGGAAGGGGTGGGGGGAGGGCAAAAGAGGTAAAGGACCACACGTGTATGATGACAGATGGAAACTAGACTTTTGGTGGTGAATATGATGTAGTCTATGCAGAAGTTGAAATATGATGATGTACACCTGAAAGTTATATAATGTTTTAAACCAATGTTACCTCAAAAAAAAAAAGAAGAAAAATTAGAATGAACTGAATATGTAATCATTTAAACTAAAACAGATGATTTGACTCATTAAATTATCATTAACTTCAGAAAAAAATATCAGCCTAAAATAATCCTTATGTTAAAGGCATGTAACCACAGGACCAGTTTAAACCAGTCCCATCATCTCAATGACAGGATGTTAAAGTTGTCTTGCAGGTACATCGAGCCAAAACTGCAAGTCTTGTTGCTGGAATATGTGCAGAGGAGAAAACCTTGACTTGAAATGTACTTGGAACCAAAGATTCTCCCCCTACAGAACCAAAGGATGGGACACAACCAGAACTTGAAAACCAGACTCTCTTCAGAAGCAAGAGGTCTGTTGTCCAGGAAGATCCTATGTTAAAGCCCCTTTCCACACCTTACCATAAATGTTTAAAGTCTTTCCAATTGAAATCTGTCCTGCCAGCACTTCTACATACCAGCCTTCCCACCCTAACCCCTTAAATTTTACCCCAAACCCTGGGATGAAGAGATAGATTTGAGAGCTTTGCCTTCTGTCTCCTTGCTGGTTGACCTAGCAATAAAGCCTTCTCTTTTCTCAAAAGCTGGTGCCACAGTATTGGCTTTTATGTGCATCGGGCAAGGGGCCTTTGCCCAGTAACAGGCATATTTTGGGACGAGAAATTCTCCTCCCTTTTGAAGAAGAGGAAGACTATCCTCTACTCACTCTGGGTCCTTTCTTGCTGGGCTACAAATTAAATTGACATGAGACA